TACCCTTAACACAGAGGTTCAGCAGCCTTAGTAAAACACACACCACCTATTATCTGTTCATCTGCTTCAAAAAGGAAGAGATAAGCAGGCAGAAATCACTGACGTCAATACATCCAGACCACTGCCACACGCAGGAAAACAGCATGAACCCCTTCCCTGCTGCTACCAGTGCCCCGAGCACCTCCAGCACACGGTCCCACTGCAGTCTGTAGTCGCACCAGGCAGCAGAAACACTTTGCATCACAGCAGGGCCCACCAAAGCCCCCCGTGCCTGCCTGGCTCCTTCCCAAGGGGAGAGTGGGCTTCTTATGGTCTCTTATGATTAACGTCAGAGGCTGAAATGTAGTTGATGTCAGGGAAAGCATCACCCATTTCTGCTCATTTTGTCACTTAGCCATTTTAATAGACTCCAGAAGACAGACTAAGGTGTGGAACAACTTCACTACTTCCTAAAATCATGGATTTCCAAGGTGCCTGTGGAGCAATGCTGGAGGACAGGAGAAGGACAACTCCTCAGTGAGTGAAAGAAATTAACGTGCGAGTCTGAATTCTAACAGTAACTAATTTGGCAAACAAGTTATAAGAAATAACATAAATAATATTAATCGTGATCTAATTACATCAAGAAACCACTAACTTCTGAGCCTTCGGGACAAACAAGTTTGGCTTCAAGAAGAACAAAAGGCATTTTCCAAAGCTATGATTTGCTGGACACTTAAAAGCATGACAGAAAACCATTGCCTCACATCTTCTGCATACGGTAAACACAAACTGCTCCAGTAAGTTAATGCTTGAAATTAAATGTTAATAAAAGACCTGGAACCTTCAAAGTTACGTCAGAAAACAGACTGAGATGATGATAATGTCATTTAGGAGACACATGCTACTTTTTACACGATCCAATTGTGTCACTCAAATTCAAAAAAAAAAAAAAAAAGAGAACATATCCTCCAAAAAGAGTTAAGCAGAGCATTAAGCATACCACAGGGGGTTCCTTGCATCAAAGGGAGCATATGGTATCTGTTACTGATAAGAACAGCTAGCAGTAACTTTGTGGTTGAGCCGCTGGAGTGGGTCCCTGGAAACCAGCGCTCATCTCCTAGATCTAGAACAGACCCCAGGAATTACGCTAGACGGAGTCACTAAGATGTTGCACCTCGTTTTCCCATCTGTTAAACAGGACTTTCCCCCCCGCCCCCGCTTCCAATGGATGAGGAGTTTTGTTTTACTTCCAAGTGTAAGCAGAGAATAAGTAGCATGGCATCATGCATGCAAGTATCTAGCACAATACTTGCAATAATTAACGACTTTAGTTGGCCTAAACATAAAAATTCCCTGAAGAGAAACGTCTCCAGTTTTACTGGTTAAATTATTTCCCCACGAGAAGTCACTACAATGGAAACAAACAGCCACAAGGTTTTGCTGTTGCCTGAAGAGCTGCTTAAGTGTTTTACTATTGAAATACTGCAATGAATTATATCTTAATAACAAAACCAGTGTATTGCACGAGTTCTTGAAGTTGATAACTTGGCCAGTTCCCAGGATCAATCAACTCATAAAGCTAATATTTTTTGATACGCAGAGATAATGCAATGTCCACCTTAGTCTGTCTATCATTGTAAATCTAAGTAAAGCACTGTGAATGGAAAACGACTACAATTAGTATGACCCTTCAAGCACGTCAGCCAGCTCCCATCTACTGCGCGTTAAATGCCCAACTGTGGCAAGAAATATTATGTACACGACAATGGAAAAAACAATTGTGAGCTAAGAACTGCCAATGCCCTAGGAAAACTTAGAGAGCAATTTGAGAAATCAAAGCTGCCACAAGGAAACCAACGCGCAGCACTGCGTGGAGGTGCTGAGCAAAGCAGCTGCCCCCTCCCGTCCCACCCATCCAACAGCAAGGTATCTCCACCACGCCACATTTAGCAGTAATTTGCTAAACTGAAAAATGCTACAGGTAAAAATCGTGCCATTAAGGATCTGAAGGGCTGAAAAAACACCTAAGTATCTTTCATGCAGATAGTATGTTTTTCAAGTCAGTATTTACATACATATAGCAACTGCTATCTGCATCTCTATCACAGGAGTTTGCTGAATACTGGGTAAACTGCTTATTTAGATGAGAATTATGCTGCCATTTGCCACGTCTGACACACAGTAAGAAAATTTCACTTGACAGATCTGAAAAAAATACCACCACACCTCAGAACCCACCGTACGGACACCAGCCCTGCATCAGAAGTGATAGCTGGGTGCTGTGAGGACGCTGCTGGGAATTCTTACTGCAAGGGAGAGATGACGAATGGCCTCCAAAATGCACACAGACCAGCCCCCTTAGGTGATCCTGCTTCAGCATTCCGGCTGTTTGTCTGTCTGGACTGCACAAGAAGTTACTGTAAATCCATCCTCCGTTGTGGTGGAGCGCAAGTCTAGCACTGATTGCACACACACCAGCACGGGGTGTACAGAGGGGATCACAACCAGCAGATGATTGCTTGGCCTCAGCAGCAAGAAACCTGATGAACTGCAGATTCCAGGCCAGAGCTATACATCGACTTAAGAAATGTCACACTGACATCAGAACTGAATTACAAAGGCAAAATTACATCGTGCTGGATTCTTTTAAGCAGCAACTTGACCCTTAAATGCTCGCACCTATTGTCTTGTGTAAGACTCATAAAATTCTGGATACAGGAGATAAAACCAAGGATTTCTGAGAAAGGGAATTCACACCTTCTATTTAGGTACCTAAATAGGTGATGATAAATCCTCTATAGAGGGCAGCGGAAAAATCTGAACTTTCTCCACAGCCAATTTAGAGCACCTAAATTAAAACTCCTAAAGATAGATGGCACAAATGCTTCCCTGGATGCCTAGCAAGCGATATCTCCTTATCATGGCCAACTCTTTCAACATACTGGTGTCCAAAACTTGGCTGCTGTAACTGTATTCATTCTCCTCCAGTCGACATTAATATGCATAGCTGGGAGTACAGATCAGAGGTTCAGGCTAGTTATACAGACATCCAAATACAAATTCAAATCATCAATACTTAATTTGCTTGAAAGCAGATGGCTTGAAAAAACAGGCACATTTTCACCATGAAAAACAAACCTGTGCTTGTTATAGATCTTGAGTCAGCCCTGAGTCAATAAAAGACAGTATAATTCTATGGGCTTTCAAGGTGCTCTGATTTAAAACAAGAAACGTTAAAAAAATCCCACAATACTTAATATATTACCTTTAAATTACACTGTTCAACAAGTTTACACATTGAAAACACTGTCATAGATACATTGTAAATCACCAAACTATTTGTAACTGTTGAAACAGAAATCCTGCAACTGAGTTCTGAAAACGAGAAATCCGTATCTTATCTAAAGAACTGTTTGCATTATATCTTAAGAAGGACCACGCTTTACAGATCTGCTGTCCTGTACACCTCAGTTGCAACAGCTGTTGATGGTTAACTACGCTGTCTGAAAGATTCATGCTAGTTAAAGGTACTGTATTCCTCCTACTGAATTTGCTCACTTATCACAGCAAATCACCCCCTCAGTGGTAGCGGCATACAACCGAACACGGGGCTTCACTGGGAAGCAAATTAAAAAAAAAAAATCCAATAAATATAAAACTCCAGAGAGTTGTTAAGACAAAGGAAGTGTGTGAGCTGAGTTTTAAAGCTCAGTAATTCATAATTCCACGTGGATAAGACAGTGTTACAAGAGCTGTGTCAGCACATCTGAAACGTTAGCGGAAACTCTTTACCTCACTATTACAGCTAAAGGCATTACTACTATCAACCTATGACTAAAATCACAATGAGCTTCCAGGAGGACGTATAAAATATTTTTGCCCAAGGACACTCTTGCAGGACAGGGTCTGTAATTATGAGACTGCTACGCTATGGATAAACACAACACATGTAAATTGAAATTCTAAGTTATGTATTTAGGTCATTTGTTTATGTATTTGACAGACATCTCTTTTTCACCAGGAACATCTCCTCTTAAAAAAAACAATTTCAAGTAAGCAACCTTTCTAAGCCTCACTCTTCCTTTCGAGGTTTGTTTAAATCAGTTTTATAGGTGCAGCCCGGTCTTTTCAAGAGCTGGTCATTTATTCTGGACTCGCACCTTACGGTGCAAACCAGGCAGTTCAGTTGCTGTCCCACATTTTGTTAGTGATCCTGGAGAATTTTTAGGTGTCTTATAAAAAATATTGACACGAGTCTACGGCAGTTTAAGTGTTTATGTATTTAGGAAGAGGGAATGCACTTTTTTCAAGAAGTTCACGGCAGTAGTTTAAAAACAAGCCATGTTCTGAAGAATATTAAAAAAGCAAGTAGCAAAGTGTAATTGATAATGTGTGCACATACACCTCAAATGGAGCAACCTATTTTGCTGCCTTTCCGGCACGCACAGCCTGCCATTATTACTTACACCAAGCACAGGTGGGAAGCGTGGATGCCTGAAGCAACAGCGAAGGTCTTTCCCCTAAACCCTCAGCCTGAGCAGCCTCTCAGAGACGCCTCTCCCGCCGCACCTCTCCTGTCGCTGCTGTCCCTGCAGCAGGAGCAGCCCCCGGGGCAGGCGGCACGGGGCAGCTGCCCCCGGCACATGACGGCGGGGCGGGCGGGCAGGCACTGCCTAACAAGGGCAGGAGCCGCACGGCGCTGCCCTCCCTGCCGGGGACGCTCCCCGCAGCCGCCGCCGCCGAGCGCACGGAGCCCGCCCTCGCCCCCCACCCCGCGGCGACCACCCCGGCCCCGAGGGGCAGCCCCCGGCCCCTCTCCACCCTCCGCAGCCGCTCCCAGCCCCCGGGGAGAGGAGGAACAAAAGGGCCGGGGCCGGCCGCAGGTCGCTCCCCGCCGGGGCAGGGGGCGGAAGGGGAGGGCGGGCGGGGAGCCCCGGAGGGGGGGGGGGGCAGCGCGGAGCCGGCTCCCGGCCCCCTCCCGCAACTTCCCGACCCCCCCTTCCCCCCCCGCCCCGTACCTCGGCGCCGCTCTCGGCCGCGCTGTCCACAGCCATCTTCTGCCAGGGGTCCGCCAGCTGAGCCAGGGGCATCTTCCCCGCGCCGCTCCCGCAGCCTCCGCGCTCCGGGGGCGGAGAGCCCTACGGCAGGGCGCGGGACGCCCCGGCTCCGGCTCCGGCTCCGGCTCCGGCTCTGGCTCCGGCTCCGGTAGCGGCGGCGCCGAGCGGTGCCCGCAGCCGCGGTCCCTCCGTCCCTCCCCGCCGCCAGGCGGGGCCGCGCTTCCGCCCTCCCCCCGGCCCCGCCGCCCGGGCACGGCTTCCGCTCACAACATGGCGCCCGGCCCCCACCTGCCCCGACAGAGGCGCCTGCGCGCCCCGCAGCGGGGCGGCCCCCGCAGGTGGCGGGGGAGAGGCGGCGGAGGGGCCGCGGGGGGGTTGAGCTCGGCCCCGGGTCTCCCCCACCCGTTAAGCAGCCGGGCTGGGGCTCCCCGAAGTCCGTGCCTCTGTAGGGTTGTGCCCTCCCCGCCGCTAAGCCTGACCCGCAGGGCTGCCAGGAAGCCCCGCCGAGGCTGGCGCTGCTCAGGGGAATGAGTCGGGGGGGGTGTGATGGGGGGCAGGCTAAAAGTTGGGCTGTGTAAACAGAAGAGGGGATGGAGGCAAGCGAGGGAGACGTAGCGCTGTGCAGGACCATTAGGCAAAGAGGGGAAGGGATTAAGGTGCAGAAATCTGCCCTTAAATCAACGCCGCTGGAGCGGTGGTTGGGCTGTGTGAGTAAGAGTTAGCTCAGGGCAGGTAAGTCATATTTCTGCAGGCCATGGGATGTGAAGATAAAGCTGTCAAAAAGCCCCCCAGGTTCTGAAAGGAGTGCCTGTTTTACTCCTTTTTATCCTCAGCTGCTAGCTAGTACACAAACACTTGACTTAAACGTATACTGAGATTCAGAAGTGTATGCAGTCTCATACGGTTCTCTTAAGATGTTAAGCGCTGTAATAAACACCCACCCTTTTGCAACATCAGATAGTTTGGCTGACGCAGAAGAATCCTTGAAACATTAGACCGGCGACTGAGGAGGGGTACGGATGTCAAACATCTTGTTATCAAAGCCAGAGCTTTCAGAGCAGTGTTTGAGAGGGCTACATCGTTTTGAACAGCCCCCGCTGTACCAAAGCATGTCCGGATTTTACAGATAACTTGTGCTGTTCCATCTTTGATAGCAGGTAAAATCCTTTTTTTTTTTTTTTTTTTTTTTTTCCTTTTTCTGGTGTGTGTGTGTGTGGCATGGCTAGAGTGCTGGTAGTTAAAAATCAGTTTGTTTGTGTGTGCACAAATGCATGTCCTGTCCACGCACACGTCACTGTGGTGAACACAGGCTACTTCCGTTCCTGCTGGGTAGCATTTTTTTCATCCCACTTTATATTCATGTGAGCGTAAATATCTGCCTACAAAGAGGTACGAAGGAGTAGTTGGGGAGTTGCTCATGGTGAATCAGGCTTCAGCTGAGAGGCTTTCATGTCTGGAGTAAAAGGTCAGAGTTGAACGATCCCTTTAAGCCTTCGCTACTGCCAGGAGAAGCAGCTGTGCCCTCCCCTTGCTCACTGCCTGTTCACTTGCATCACCCTCCCCTTTGAAGTGGTGCAATTACTTGTGCTGCCACGTGGTGAGTTAGACCGGGGAGTAGATCTAGGTAAAATCTAATTCTACCGTTTTTGTCTTCTCTGCTGTCCTCAAGCAACAAAACAAACACGCAAAACAAACAAAACCACCACCACAGCAAAGCAACAACAAAACAACTAAAATCAACCCCAAAACAAATAAAACCAAAACAAACAAACAAAAAACTTACAACACAACCCTATTGAAATTTGAGTTAAAGGTTGAAGAGAATTCAGGATGGCTTCCTTCAAAAACACGGGCAATTTGTAAAACGCTGGCCAGTTGTTTGTTTGAAATTTAGAGCGAGGTAACAAAAAAATGGACAATTAAGTCGTGCTTGGCAGCCTTCAAGCTTAGCCTAACAGCAAGGACTGACTTTTTTTTTTTTTTTTTGGTAGTTTCATTAGCACCAGGTCACTTTAGTCTCAAGGTGGCTTCTGGAACTTTGAATAGAAAGCTCATATTCACAGCAGCCATACAGCATTTGACACACAAATAAGGAAATACGGATTTTTGAATTCATGTAAAAGTCCATGAAGAAAAAAAATTTCCCTACATCCTTCTGGAAACACAATTTCTGTTCCTTCAGAGGCATAACTCACTTTACTCTCATTGTTTCGTACCTGCATCAACTACACAGTCAGGTACATACATCTGAGGCTCGCTGTTAAAGAATCTGGTCACCTGGAAGGTGGCAACCAAAACAGAAAAAGATATTAACAAAGCTTTTGTTTAACATAATTCAAGCAATCCCTCTTTATGTGGAGATTTTTTTTCCTCTAAATTAAAGTTTCCATGATCTCCTCTTTTCCTTTCATATTTGTCTATTCCTTTCCTGCCATAGGTACCTGTTCTGAATTACTTATTTGAATTTGAAACTCTTTTTAGAAGGAGATTAGGTGTTACATTTCAGGTGTTACTCTAAATTTTGTATGTTGGTCATTTTCTGTCTTTCCATGTATGCAGTCATCAAACCCAGAAAAAACAAGGGCAAAGATCTTATGTGGTAGCATATAAGAGGACTGCAAACAGTAGAAATCTGACCTTTTCTCAGGCACAGAAGTGCAGAGGGTAGGCAGAATTATGCCCTTTCATTGTTTGGGGGGTTGAGTATTATCACACCACACATCTAAATTTTATAAGGGAAGAAGTTGCATTTGGATTTTTATACGGGCTGCCTTGCAAGAACAGACTTCAGGGCAAAAAAACTATCTTGAAATTTTCTCCACAGGGAAGAGAAACATACCAGTTAATCTCTGGGAGATGTAGGGCATTCCGTCTTTCAGATCCTGCTAGACTCAGAGTTGGATTGTCCTCACAGTGAGAAGTAAGATACTGAAGGTATTTTGCCTCGAGACAGCAGCTCCTATGTTTCATTCCTTTTGTCTCAGGCCAAAGCAAGATCTTTGTTTCACCCATGGCAGCAGACCTTTCCTTTTAACTTCATTTCCTTTAAGCACAGCTATCACCACTTGAATGTAGTCACTGCTATTAACTCTGTCACCAGACTCAGCAAGGGTTGGTTTCACCTTTGCATAAGTGGTTGCAATAATTTTGCATCCACACAGATGTTATACATGCATTGCACCCGAAAAAGTGATCACATTCATTAGGAAGAAGTAGCATATGGCACTGAAATTACAGTACTGTATAAAATCTTGTTAACCTGTCAACATATGAATTAAGTGAGCTTCACAAGCTGCACTTTTTTTTTTTTTTAATATTCTAGCAAATCTAAAATCAAACCATATTGAAAGGGGAGATATTACTTGTGAGTCGTAGAAATTGGGGAACTTTGCTTATTTGCAGTGGCATCTAATGCATCTACTTCCTCTTTGTATTTAAGGCAAAATTCATGGCAAAGTTAGTAAATCACCATAGTCATACCACCAGAAGAACAATTAGTAAGTATAAAAAAGGTTTAGTTTGCTAGTATTGCTATAAGAGTAGTAATTGGAAGCTAGAACTTCCATTTTTAAAATACGAAGAAAAGGGAGGGAATTGCATAGCAAACTGAAATTATGGCAACAAAAACCACAAATTCCACACTCATATAGGTGTAGTGTATTAGGTGTGAATTATTGTGCAGTATGTTCTGATTACAGCGAATAGAATATGAAAGGGTAAATGCGTTCTGAAAGTGCAAATTGAAATTCAGTTGTAGGTATTATGATCATAGTACTGAGGCATATAATTTGAATTTAATGCACAAAAATACACAGAAGTTACTGTTCAAATTTACATGTAAAAAACATCAGAGGAGTTAAAGAGAAAATCAGTACAATTTGTTTGTTTAGCTAGCAGAGGCAGAGTCTCTTGCTCTCGGGACACCTGAATTCAGTTCCTAGCAGATCACAAAGGACAATTGTGTAATTTGGTAAGTCACTTAATATAGATGAGATTCATCTAAGGACGCTTAATCTTTCTTAATGATGTTTTCAAAAGAGTGAAGAGGCCTTGATTGGGGAAGAGTAAATACATCCTGCCAGAATAGAATAAGGAAGCCTTAGTGGTAATTAGAACTGGTTGCTCTGTGCTTTGGATGCAAATAGAAGGAACGTCTCCTTAACCTCATTGGGATATTGAAAGCATGGTTTCATTGATGTTTGGAGAGCTGATGAAGACCAGGGAGAGAAACAAAGTGCTGAAAGAAGTTCCCAGCTGGTGTGAGTTGCTGTAGCAGAGGCACCAGAAGTCGTGTAGTCTGCCCCCATATGTATAGAATCATCTATGTAAACCAGGGTTACAGAGAGTTATAACAGAATTAAAAAGGAAAAAACTGAAGTGAACAACTGTTGTGGATAAAGACCTGACCTGGCCTTGCAAAAAAAAAAAAAAAAAAATCTGCTGAAGGGTGCTTTTGCTGTTACAGACCCCTGGATGATGGAATCGTACTGGAATGCAAACATTTCCTACAATTTCCTCTGGCAGGCTTTTCTTTGAAGTTCTGATCCTGCAAATGTAGTAGAAGATACAATAATGCCAATAAGAATACTTCTAAATCCTACCTATATTAGGGATGTGGTATCTGACTCACCACTTAAAACTCTAGCTTGTCTGTGTATGCATATGTATGTTTGTTTATATCACAGTACACTGGTATCACAAGAGTAAAGCATAATGGATCAGACTTCATGGTATTGCTGATCTGAGTTTTATCTGTGGTTACAGTACTAGCAGGAAATATTGTGCCTGTGGTTTCTATATCCTGAGTGGAAATGTGGAATTCAATAAAATACGGTCTCATTACCTGTCTCCAACATATGTTCTCATTTTAGCATTTCTGTACATATGGATAGCTCAGATTTATCTTCCGAGTGACAATGCTTATCCTGTTCACCGCAGAATATGAGAAAGCTTTTGCTGAGCTTCAAAGTCTTGCATGGGAACCTGCTATCAAATACTGAGTTCAAGTTACCACCCTGTTACGGTGGGACGTCGAGAAGAATACCCAAATTCCAGATTCTGTATTTTGACACAAAAAGGAAATGGTACGGTATAAACAAGGATCAGTCTCTGTGGGTCAGGGTTCTGCTGGGTTACATATTACATAGGGTAGCTGTTCACAAGGAAAAAGATACAAAGTTGATGGAAGTAGAATATGAGACTCTATTGTGTTTATACAAGGCTAGTATAACAGTAACAAACTTGTCAGCCTCACAAGTCACTGCTATAAAACACACAAGGCCCAGGGAGGCCACAGTGCTGTACATACACTGCCCGTCTCCTCCCTCCTCCCCCAGACCTAGGAGTTTAAGGATCACATATCCTTCTGTTATTGTTATCAAATTAGGTCTGATTTAAAGAGGCTACTGACAAGAAAAGCACAATTTATCCAGCTCTTCTGTGTTGTAACATTGCTACCTCCATTTCCTGATTTTGTGCTATAGCCCGCTCCCAGTTAAATTGTGTTAATATCCTCCCCCATTACTGGCTCTCTTCGAAAGCTACCCACCAAATCATCTGCTCTAACGATCTAACTCTTCGCTTCCTTTTATAGATTATCCAGTGTCTCTTAGCCAAGAATCCCTCTTAGATCCAGAAAGCTTTATTTTCTCTTTCCTGCCCCTTAATTATACACAAAAGGATTCTCCTGACTGAGCTAACATCTATCCTTTATCATGTTGAACAACACCTGATCCTCATTCCCAGCAGTCTGCTAATCTCTTCTGGAATACCTCCTGTTAAAGTGATCAGATATACACATACAGTTTTCTACCCCTGTTTCTTTGCAACAGTAAAAGGTCTGCGTGCTTCCTCTGGATGGTTCACTCACTCTTTCACCAGCATCTCACAGTTGTGCCTCGTCTTTTTCCCTGTAGAAAACCAAGCAGTGCCTTTCTGAGGGGGGCCCAGGTCTGTAGCCAGACATCTTGTCTATAAAGTCCTCTCCAGTACAAAAATAAGACCTGCAACATCATCAAATGTAAATCACCAGGGGTTGTCATGGTACCTGGTGTACAGTACGTAGTATTTTTCCCACCTGCTTCTATGGTGTCTCCTGTTCTCTTGCACCTGGGAGCTCCTGCTGTGAGCCCCAGCCTCGCTGTAATTCAGAAATGTG